GAGGAGCGCGAGGGTCCCTCCCTAAGCCGCCGAGGAGCGCAGGGGTCCCTCCTCAGCCCCCCCGAGGAACACGGGGGTCCCTCCCCAGCCCCCGGCCCAGCGAATCCCTCGGTCCGGGGGGGGAGTGTCCGGGGAGGAGGTGTGTGTGTGTGTGGGGGGGGGAAAAGCGCCGAGGGGTCTCTACACGGAGCTGCGGCGCTTCCTGAGCCCCGGGAACGGCTCCAGGCTCTGGAGCCCGCTGGACACGGAGCTGACGGCCGAGCGCCGGGCGCCGCACGAGCAGCGCTGCGGGGCGGGCTCGGCGTGGCCACCGCCGCCGCCGTCGTGGCCACCACCCCCGTGGCCGCCCCCGCCGTGGCTCTGCTGCTGCTCCGAGGCGGAGGAGAGGTCCCGGGGGATGATCATGGGGATGGAGTACTGCAGCTTCTCGCGGCTCTTGTACCACAGGCACGAGCACACCGACTGGAAGTGGAGAACCTCGGCGTACACGTTCCTCAGCCCTCCCCCTCCTCCTCCTCCTCCTCCTCCTCCTCCTCCTCCTCCTCCTCCTCCTCCCGCTCCGGCTCCTGCCCCCGCGGCGGGAGCGGCCGGGAGGGGCTCGGGGGAGGCGACATCGGCCGGGACAGCGCTCCGGGGGCAGCGGCGGCGGCGGCAGGAGGAGGAGGAGGAGGAGGAGGAGGAGAGCAGCGCCCGGTGCTCGGCGTCCCGCCGCTCGTCCTCGGCGTTCATGGTCATGAAGCGCAGCACCACCAGGTTGAGGAAGGCGCCGATGACCGTGAGCCCCGTGAGGATGTAGACGAAGCTGAAGGCCACGTACTGCGGCTGGTTCTGCAGCGCCTGGTCCTTCTGCAGCGCCACGTAGTCGCCGAAGCCGATGGTGGTGAGGGTGATGAAGCAGTAGTAGTAGGCGTGGAAGAAGCTCCAGCGCTCGTAGTGCGAGAAGGCGGCGGCGCCCACGCAGAGGGTGCCGAGGCAGGAGAAGAAGCCGATGGCCACCATGTTGGCCATGGACACCTCGGGCCGCCGCATGCCCAGCCCCTTCTTGGCGCGGCGCAGGAGGTGCCGCACCAGGGTGTTGATGCGCTCGCCCAGGCTCTGGAACATGACGAGGGTCAGGGGGATGCCCAGCAGCGCGTACACCATGCAGAACACCTTCCCCCCGTCCGTGCTGGGGGCGGCGTGACCGTAACCTGCGGGGGGGAGAGAGGAGAGGGAGGGCACGGAGGGGTCAGCGCGGGGATCCCGGCGGGGAGGAGGAACTCGGGGGAGCCGCCCTGAGAGCCCGGGAGGAGCGGGATGGGATCTTAGAGCTCCTCCTGCTGTCCCAGGGGATCCAACCCCGGCCTTGGACGCTCCCGGGGATCCAGGGGCAGCCACGGCTTCTCTGGGAATTCCAGCCCAGCCCCTCCCCACCCTCCCAGCCAGGAATCCCTTCCCAATCTCCCGCATAACCCCAGGAAAACCAGGCACCTGCATCCCGGTTTTCCCGTGCTTGGATGTGGGATTGCTCCAAGAGAAACCCTGCCAGGCTCTTCCCTTCTCCATGGGAACCATGGGAATGCAGGGCAGGGAAACCCCAAAGCGTTGGGAAAAGGTCCATCCTTGCTTTTTGGGGATCTGGGGATGGGTTGAGTGGGAAGGGATCTTAAGGATCAGCCCGTTCCAACCCCGACACCTCCCGCTATCCCAGGGGATCCAACCCGGCCTTGGACACTCCCAGGGATCCAGGGGCAGCCACAGTTTCTCTGGGAATTCCAGCCCAGCCCCTCCCCACCCTCCCAGCCAGGAATCCCTTCCCAATCTCCCCTTTCCCAAATCTCCCCTTTCCCACTGGGATCCATTCCCTGGGGCCTGTCATTCCAGGCCCTGATCCCAAATCCCTCTCCTGCTCTCCTGG